GAGAGGAGTACTAATGGGATATGCTGCTGTGTCGCTATTTTTAATCGCCTTGACTCTAGTGTTGTTGTGTTTCCTAAATAATAATCCTTGATTTTCAAGTTACTTCATTACCAAATCAAGCAGTATTGCCAGAAATAGAATAAACTTCTCCTGTGAGTTGTGTTTAACTTTTATTTTGGAGAGCTAACACAATAGAATGATTTTGCTTAATTAATTCCTTTTGATATTTCATCTTCCAAGCGCTTATAATTGTTCCTAAAATTTTATCAACAATTGAGATATTTTGTCTTCTCCAATACATTAATCCATTGTCCATGTTTTGGATAATATGATGCAATTTCCCTACAGCCTTCTCATTGCCTTCCCTCTAACTATTATTTCATCAATATAATCATTTGCAAGAATGTCTAGAGGGATCATATAGCTAAGCGTCCCAACGCTTATCTACATTACTGATTGCAATTACTCTGGACACAGCCTTATAATATGTTAACTATATACAACTTATATTGAATTCCTTGCTGAATGAAAGCAAATTGATTCTGAAATTCCTTACCAAAAAGAAAAAAAAATATCCAAAATCCCCCACACACTCCCCAAAATGGAGAAAAGCCTATCTGTCCCATTTATCCTCCCAGGGTGCTAGCTATTTATTTATGAAATGGAATAATATGCCCTCTGGATTTTTCACTAATTTTTTGATAAGTAATGATTGGCTGTAAGGACCTCTGATTTGCTACATTATCTGACCAGCCAAACTGGGGACCTGTGTAAAGACATGATGTTATAATTTTCTTTCTCATCTTCCAAATATTTATGTCTTGAGAGATTTTTTTCCCCCATCTCTCAGCCTGATTCTACACAGAGAGTTTTAGGAAGGGTCATCTGATTACTTTTAATGTAAATAGTTCTCAATGCTAGCATAGTTGTATTTATTGTCAAAATTCTTGTTTTCTACTTTTAACCACTATAAACCTGTACTTCGTAGAAAATGTGTCACCCATCGTCCAGTATAGTTGATGCTAATTTTCTATGCTGATATTTTGATTTCTTGTGTATATTTAGGGTCGTGGATCAGGTTACTCTCTGCTGCTCTAGTGACGTTGAAAGTAGGGGAAGCCTGTTTTCAGCTAAGACCATCTCGCGGTGAGCAGCACAGAGTGCTTCCAGCAAGAACCGGATCTGGATCCCAGCAGATCACTTACATTTGTGAGCACTTAGACAAGCTTCGCATCTTTTCTTATTAGTTGCCTCTATAAAATTTCACTAACGTAAATGTATATAAGTGTGTATCTGTCTAAACACCCATACACACTCTTCAGAATGGACACTTGCCTGTATGTCGTAATGGAAGTTACACCCTGATACACCCAGATAGAGAAGGACACTCTGAGAAGGTGTTAGGCTCTTGCCAACGTATGCCATGAAGAATCTAGACTGAATGTGTGGAAGTGTATTTTAAAGGTATTAGTTCAAGGAAATGCAAAATAATGTTGGATTGATTCAAACTTCCTTATCTCGGTGCACTCGTTACAGGATTTAGAATTTGCTGTGTGGTTGGAGCAACAGGGAGTGGCTTTAATGACATGCCAGGTGAGTCACTGATGTTCAGGTCCAGCGGTAGGCTGGGGTCAAGCAGACACTCATAATGACGGCGCAAGGGACACATCAGAGAGTGAAGCGCACACATCCTGGAAGACACTGACGGCTGCTCTCCTCTGTGAGCTGCAGGTGAAGTTGGAATGAGACCTGGGATTTCAGAGGACATAGCTCCCTCCTGTCATTGAGAGCCCAGGTAGGGTCACCGTTCCATCAGAAGCAGCAAAGCAGATGCACCAACCATAATAAGCTGAGGAGTCTGTGGTGATGGCAGACTGATCACCGGTTTGTTCCCAGGAATGAAATAATTGGGAGCTCCGTTGAGATATATCGGCAGGATCATTTTGAGTCTAATGGGCTGAAAGCCTACTCGAGGTTATCACTGTGGGATTGTCAGGGCTTGTGTCTAGTTTACAGACCAGGCAACTTGACTGAAGGGGTTTCTAGGTCTCTTCGAGAAAGACCCCTGTGATACAGCCACGTGTCCCTATTAGAATCTTAGAATCTTCCTCTAAGCCTCCCAGCGGGTCTGCCTATCATGTGCCAGAGTGACAATGTGCTTCAAGGAGAAAATGCCATGATTTGCCATGGGCTACTATAATAAATACAAGCTCTGAACAAAACAACAACACAGCAGGCACCAGTTAAGAGTGGAGGCTCATGGAAGTCAGGTGACAGTAGCCACTTGGCCAGCATTACCCACAGTGAGAGTGTAAATGAGAATTGGGAGACTTTGAAACCTGTGGTCTCTTCATCTTGGTTACCACCTGACCAATGGAGCAAGGTGCACAGGGTAAGAAAATCCAGACAGAAGCCACCTATTCAAGGCAAGCTGTGTGAATCACAAGTCCAAATAGAAACTGTGTCTTGGTAGAACTGCAGAATGAGTCCACCACCAAATAATAGAAAGACGCAGCATTTGTAGTTCGTACGGCATCTACATTTAAATCAATTTCTTTAGTGAGTGCTGATCTTGGAGACTGGACGTGAATTTTTGTAAACACAAACAGATGGTGTAGCCCAGTGCAGCTGGAGCTCGGGGTATGGTATCTTTAGTAGATAAATGCCAAGTATGTAGCTGTTGACCTAGTAAGTACTTTAATTCCCATCAGCAGCCATATTCAAAAGCAATCCATGCTCCCTCGGCAGAGAGAGAAGTGCACTTCATTGTCTTACCTTAGAGGTTTGTCAGCTCTCTTGCTCCTTGCTGTAATATTGTTTGGGAGGACACTGATTGCCTCACTACCCCGTAGACTATTTCACTAGTCCATTGAGTTGATGATAGCTATACTAATTGCTAATTGACTCTACTGCACAGAAAGTAGCAAGTGCCCTACCTATTTTAGCAAGGCACATGTGTGTCAAAAAACAAGGGATCAACCTCATGAGAATTCAGGGACCTGTCACGCTGGCCAAGTGTATGGTGTCCACAGTTCTCGGGTATGACAGAAAGTTATTTCTAAAATAAGACACCTATTGCTTCAATTTGCACCACTCATGAAAAAAGCAAGAGGTGCAATGTTTATGAGACATCTGGAATTCGAAGACAACATAAGCCACATTTGGCTCTGTGCGCCAATCCATTAACCAGGTTACCGGTAACGCTGACAGTTTTAAGAGAGTCCTGGAACAATAAAAGTCTCAGAAACAGTTCTAAGGCCCAGTGTAAGCTATTCCTTATGTGGGCATTATAACGCACAGTGCAGGGATATCTGAGGTGCCCAGGGCAGACACAGAGCTGTGCGGAGTCTCTGAGAAGCTCTTATAAATCTAGGGTTTTGGCATAAGGCCACGTACTCGGCTGCCGGCAAGTTCTCCTCTGGCTTGCTTCTGGGGAGCCTAATAACAACTGAACCACCTGGCCATGGTACCTGCAGTGACTGTGATCCTAAAACTAACATCCCGAAGTGAGCATCACCTTATTAATTATAAGATTATATGTGCACAGCAGGAATCCACATTTCAATGGAAATCACATGTTTGAGACAAGCCGAGGACAGACATGGGAGATACAAGTGCACCTCACAACCTGGTGCCCTGTGCTCTCATGATACTGGAGCCTTCTCCTTTAAATTTCTCACGTTCTCCCAACCCATGACACTCATAAAACCCAAAGTTTAATGAGAACAAATAAAGTTAATGGGGAAATCATCTCATTGCCCTCTGTTGGCCAATCGCAATCTTTGCAACACAGGGACTTCCCAGTGATCAGTCAGCAGGAGAGGACAAAGCCCTGTTGCAAAGACGGCTCCTTGTGAAATGCAGGCACCGGTGAACAGCAAATGCCAACCACAGCTCCAGTGAGCAGTGGCCCCAAAATGGTGGTGAAGGGGAGGACTGTCAGTGAGTAGAACTTCAGGTCAGATAGCTGGCTGTGCATTTCGTGTGTGAGGATAAATGCCTGAAGTGATGGTCTACACGGACCCGTAGACCATGGTTAATGGAGTGGCCACACCATTGAGGTTTGAGAACAAGAAAATCAGCTGCAGGATGTTTTTGGAAGAGGTAGCTTGTTGGTCCTTTTGAAGTAGGCCCAGGGTGAGAAGAAATCCGAGTTTCATGTAAATGCTTAACCAAAGGCATTGCCTGCAGAGGAGCTCTCAGTAACCACGAAAGGATAACACAGCCTGTGACCACCAGTCACCACTACCCAGGGTGATGCAATGACCCATGAACCAAGTGGCCACAGCGCCAGGATCAGAGGCTCTGCACAGGGCCAGCAACACAGAGTTCCACTCACCAAGGTTGATGGGCTGTTGGCCCTGCTGAGTACCCAGTTTCAAGGAGAGGCCGAAACTGACCATCCTTTTACAGCACCATTCCATGAAGGACCGACCATCTAGCTGGTGTCAAGTCAATTACATTGGACTCCTTTCATCACGAAAAGAGAAGTCCCTTGTTTTACAGATACTGATTTGGATTTTCCTCTACTTTCTGCAACACTTCTTCCAGAATGACCACTCATGGACTTTCAGAAAGTCTTGTTAGTCGCTGCCAACAAATACCTAATTTTATAGCAAAGAAGGTGAGATAGGAGACTCACACCCATGAAATGTGCTGATGTTGCTAGGTGTCTCACCAGCCTAACACAGCTGGCTTGGCAGAACGAGGGAATGGCCCGCTCAAGGCTTGGTTCTGATACCAGACAGAAGACATCTGTTGAGTTTGGACTGTCGTCTTAAAGAATTCTGCTTGAACCTCTAATCCACAGGCAATACCTTGTGCAGTTGACACCAGAGAAGGAGCTGGGATCTGTGGGACAGAGGTAAGAACAGCCCCTCTCCTTATTACATTAACAGACTACAAAGAAGGGTTTTTCTTCCCAGTCCCACAATCTTGAGCCTTATAGGGTTTGAAGGTCATAGTAACCCAAATAACAATGCTTTCCATGGAGAACTTACCCAGAGCTTCATCGCCAGGACAGCCACAGGACCAGTCTGGGTTCCTCATACTATTGGGGGAAAAAAGTAAAACAGTAAATATATACATACACAATGCTTTTTGTAAGTATTATGTATGTGTATATACACACATCTATATATAAATGTAAAGACAAATGCAAATTATATATAATTTATTTTATATTTATAAATTTTAAAAACTTACATGTATATTTATAAACAAATGTTTATAAACTTACATCTTATGAATATAAATATTTATAAATATAAATTTATTTATAAATATTTATGAATAAAGACAAAATTTTAACACACATATATGTATGGTATAAATATGTCTTGAAAGAAAAAGAGAGAAACATGCCTATATTGTCATTGGATTAAATAAATTTTAAGACCAAAAGACGTGGCATTTAACCATATATGATCTGTTTCCTCAGTGGTTTCTACCATTTGATTTTGCTCTGAACAACTTAATCACTTTCTAACTTGGTTTCCTAGACTGCAAAATGGGACAATAGTTGTAAATATCTTATAGAAATAATAAAAAGACTAAACACAATTCATATAAAATCATAATTCATGTGAAGTGCTTAGCACCTCTTTCCAGAGACGTACTCAGTAAAAATGATCTATTACACTCATATATTTATAGATATTTATGCACCTTTATGCATATACATATCAAACACAGACAATAGAAATAGATGGAGTGGCCATTTATCAAGCATCTTTTTTTGAGTATTTTATTTCTAGGAAAATCACTGTGGAATTGTAAACTGTCCTTAATACTTCTCGATCTAAAATTTATAGTTTAAAAATGACAGGCATAAATGTAACAGATTGTTTTGTGTATATGTTATACGTGTAATTTATTGTTTGAACAATGTCAAGAAAAATGAACAAATATATTGTTTATGGGATTAAAACCTTACACCTTTAATATAGGCTTAAGTATTTTACATTCCTTGCATGATCCCAAGAATGATATTTTATTCTGCTCTCTGGATTCTTGCTAAGTATCAGCAATGATGTTAAAATTATCATTCCCAAATGGTTCCTGAGGAGATACTTTTTGTCAACCCTCCGCTTTCAACCCCATTTGTCTCATAGGTTTACAATTTATAGCACAGAATTTGCTAGGAAAGTGTCTGGGATCATTTTTTTTTTTTAATGCTTATATGGCTCATTTTAAAATTTAGGTTGAAATGGGTACAGATTCTGTTTTAGTAAATCACTCCCCTTAAATGTCATTACGAGGATGACAACTCCTTCAGCCCTGCCTGTAACCCACAGGCTGCCTTGATGTGGGGATTATAGAACTATAATTAATCCTGAAGCAAACTGAAATACCCGTGATCAGTTCATGGGATGGTTTTTTAGCTGTATAATTCCTCCCACACTGGTGCTCAATCTGTGCATTTTCCAAATATGCTTGCCAGAGAAGTAACACTGCCGAAAATAAGCTTGAAATAGACAAGGGAAAAGGAAAGCAAGTGAATTTAAAAGTTTAATGAGATCCAAAATAAGTTAATGGGGTTAGGGAAATATTTTTTTTTTGCCAGTTTTTAGCCAATTGCAATTAATCAACTTGGCTGATATTAAGACTGAAAAGAGAGAATTTCTACTTTTACATGGATCTCAGTCTGAAATTGTTTAAGAGTTATAGACTATTAAAAATAAAAGGAAACTTAGATACTAAATAGTATAAAACCCTCATTGGATAGATATAAATACTAAAATTTAGAGATGTGAATTGATTTTCCTAAAATTCCTTGCAAGTTGTCAGTAAAATCAGGCTAAATTTGGATTGAGTTTTATTTCCAGTGGGCAAAAAGGCAAATTATACACCAGGTATCTACACTGTCCTATTTTAGCACTGATTAATATTTATAATGCTGATTTCAAGGCACATAATTAAATTAACTTCAAAAAGTGGTGGTAAGGGAAGAAAAGCCTTATTTATGATTCAATGCCAATGAATAAATGGAGAAGGACCGACAGAGGTAGTAAAATCACCATTTGTCAACCACATTAGTGATAATTGATTCCAGCAAGAGTCATCAGTGAATGCTGAAACCATTTGGTAAAAGTTTGTTGGGAACAAGATATTGGAATAGCCTCAGTGGGATTCTCCAGAAATTGCTCATTCATAACAAAGGAAAAAGGTGACATTACTGTGAAGACATCTGGCAGATACCACCTGCCTAGGTCTATTTTCTGCTACTATAACAGAATACTACAGACTGGGCAGTTTATACAGAAAAGAAGTTTATTTGGCTCACAGTTCTGGGGGATGGGAAGTCCAAGAGAATGGCACCTGTGTCTGGAGCTGGCCTCCCAGTGGAGGGAGGCAGAGAGAGTGACAGCATGAGACAAAGAGGAAAAGGGGGCCTTAAGGTCACACCTCTCATATGGTTGCATTGGGGATTAATTTCCCAATGACATGAACTTTGGGGATGCAGTCAAACCATAGCACCACTATGGCCCAGTGATTAAAGTTAGCATCCCAAGAATGAGACAAATATGTGTCCCCTGACATGACAGGCTGAGGGTGCCTAACTCAGGTAGTATTTCTGCCAATAAACAAACAAACAAAAAACGCCTCAGTCTAGTCATAAGGAAGCAATCAGAAATCCACAAATCAGGGGAAAGTTTGAAACTACAATTGGTATACACTCCTAAAGGGAAGTAGATGTTGTATAAGACAAAGTGAATTTTAGAAGTTATTCCAGAGAAAGACTAAAGATACATGGTAGCCAAACAAAATGAGTGATGCTAGCTTGTATCTTCAGTTGAAAAAAAAAATGCTGAAAAAGAACTTTAATAGAACAATTAGCAAAATGTGAATATTGAGTTTATAATATGTAATAGTATTGTATCATGATAATTTTTAAAATTGGTTATTATATTGCATATGTTTAAGATAATGGCCTTGTTCTTAGGAGACAGATGATGAAGTCCTGAGGGTTAAAAGCATTCAATGTCTGCAACTTACTCTCTCATGATTTGTCAATAATAAAACAATGAACATACTATAAAGGCTAGGGAAAAGAGGAGAAGGAGGAGGAAGACGAAGACAAGAAGAAAATGACAAAACATGTCCATCCAGAGAGAGGAGGTAGGGGGAATAAACAGTTAATTAATCTAAATTAAGCATACACAGTGGCTCACTGTGTATCATTTTTGGAACTAGTCTGTACTTCTGACATTTCTTTAATAAAAAACATAAAAATGTTTTCATGATTAATAACGAAAATTTAACTAGAAAGTTTCTACTTACATACTCTACATGAGTATTATACCTACTGCTTCTGATCTCTACGTACCATGTCCCACTTGCCTCTCTCCCCCTGGAGGAATCTATTGCTAGAAAAAGAAAAGGAGATGCCGCTCTTGTTAAATCCTCATTGCACGACGAGTTGGAATATGATGTTTTTGTTATAAATCCTGTGAAGTTGGAACGATCACATACTTGGCCAATTTACCCTAAATCTCTCATTAGCTATCTAAGTCACTTGAGGCAGAGCGGAAAGGCAAATCCGTGTATAATGAATAAATTTTAAAATGCCAGAAAAACATCAAATGCAAGAGGACAAAGGGAGAGGGTGAAGGACAAACAAAAGAGGGAGTAAAAAGGTTCTAGTGTGTTTATGATGCCATCTTACTGCGCTTGATCTTCCCAATACATTGTTCAAATTTACCATAAACTTCCCGAGACACTCTGCCTTTTTAAATTCATATAAAAAAAATACTCATTCTAACTTTCATTCCTTCAGAGAGAGAAATCTTGGTTCTAAAGAGAGAAAATGATTTGTTTATTCAGCCACTTTTTTCCTGCACAACCGCCCTGCACGAGGTACTAGGATACCTGCTGTTGTCAACAACGTGTGTGATCCCTGCTTTAATCCAAATGCCAGCACAATGCAAGATGTGATGGTTTGAATGGGCAGGAATTAGACAAGATACAAATTGGGAGAAGAGTCAATTAAGTAAAATAAAGACTACGGGATAAGGTTCTGCAAAAAAGAAAGCGTTTTTATGTGAGCAAGAAAGCAGAAACAGGCCTCCATGCTGGGAAGTGGAAGATAATTGATTCAAGTGATTCTGGAGAAGTGGGTTCTACCCCTAATGATTCCAGCTACTGTACCAGACCATTATTATCTACATTAAATACTGTGATTGCATCCCTAATGCGATAAGTAACCATCAAATGTTCGTGGGTAAGCTGGTGAGGTGAGTGAAGCTATGTCAAAGAGCTGTGTGATGTCATGTGAAGAGCGAATTAGAGGGTGTTCTGTGGGAGAAAGAAGGCACTGCATGCAGGTGTGCAGATACATACGAAGGTGGTGCGGAAGGGGTGGGAGGAAGTGACGATAGAAAAATAAAGAGATCTCAGTCAGGCGTGAGGCAAAAGAAGAGGACGATATAACCAACTTTGAAAGGAAGAGTTCCAAGGGGCTTAATATTTCGAGTCATTGCATGTCTAAAGATACTTGCATTTTCTCCTCACTTGGTAGATTTGGTAAACATAAAACTTTAAGGTAAAAATTATTTTTTCAGAACTTGAAGGGCATATTCCATTTTCCATTTGAAAATGGCTACCAGCATTTTCAAAGTGGGAGAGATATGAACCAATTTTAATTTCTCTTCCAATGTAAGTTGAGCTGGAGAAGTATAAATTTATTTTGATTTCTATTTCTCTGTAGGAAAACTACTTTTTTAATTTTTGTAAGCTATTGGAGTCTTCTTCATCGCTAGTATTATCAGATTTCACAAAATTATGCTTTTATTTAGATCATCACATTTATTTTGCTGGGTGCTAGGTACACAATTTCAATATGGCGTTTTTTAAGTTCTTCCATTCTAGCAATTTTTTTTTGTCTCCTTAATTACACACACCCACAAGTAGGGGTTTGGAGATAATAAACTGAAACACTTACTTTGTTATATCCATGCATTTTAAACTGTTATTCTTCTCTTTTTATTTTTATACTAATTTAGAGTGTTTTCCTAACTGTATCTTTCCACCTTTGTAATAATGTACCATCAATTTTATTATCTTACTTTAAACGTATATAGCATCTTTCATGTGTTATACTCTTCCCTTACTCTTCCTCTCCTGTTTTTATTTGGTAGATACGACATCTCCTCTTAATCTTCTGGGCTTATTTGTTATAGATCCCTGTATTCTGTGGTTCTCATGCAACTCTGGAGGTTACCTGTAAATTTTCTTGCTTCATTTCCAGTCCTGAACTCTCCTGTCTCTCTCCTTGAACTAAGGAGGGTGTGGTTTTGCCTGGCACCATTTTTCTGAGGTTGAGGCTGCCGCAGAGGTTGAACAGAACACTTGAGTTGGAAAGTCACAACTTCTAGTTCTTCCTTCTTTCAACACCATTTCTTGAGTTTTGACTCTTCCCCTGCTCCTCCTTGCTTTAGGATGCTCCTTCAAAATACATATAAATAGAGATATGTAGATGCTATATATAGCATCTTCAAATATGTACTTTTAAAATATATTCACTTAGTAATTGTTCACATGATTACTTCATTCTTCCACCATCATCAGAAGCCTGATGTGCTTTTGAGAATAGACGATCCGCATTTCTGTTTTAATTTCCTGGTCATCTTCATTAAATACATTAGGTTGCAAATAAAGTTGAAAAACACTACAACAGTTTCTGCTGCAGCATCTTTGAAAGGATGAAGGTTAAGAAGGGAAAATGGGTTATTATTAAATTCCAGTTTGCTCTTTGCCGGGAGTCACCTGCCAGAAAATAAATTAAGGCGAAATTAAGTAGCATTTAAAGGATAAATTGTTATCGAACATCGGTGAGAGGATTGAGCAGGTTAAAAGTCAGATGGATCTTTTCCCATAAAGATGGAAGCTATTTTCCTCCTTTCTGTTTTGCGCCCTATTGGGGATGTGGCTGGCAGCACGCTGTGTGTTTAATCCATTGATACTAGGGCTTGTCAGATGGAGAAGTCAATGTTTTATGTTTACTGAGAAAATTAGGTTACAAAACGTTTCCCAGAATGGATTTCGCTGACATTACTCATCATACTACTCAAGTGTTCCCGTGGAAACGCCAGATATCTGTGTTTCATTCTCTTTTGTGACCGGTCTTCCATTTTGTGGCTAAGAACTATTACAAATTGGTATTTACTTGCATTTTGAGGATTCATAGAGAATGTAAAAATCCCACAATAAAGGAAAATGAGCCACTTTTATGGTTTATTTCAGTCTGTGTTCCCAGTATTTGAATTTCAGACAATATTTTAAAGCTCGATGACTTCGACTTTTTTCTTTATCTTAACAAAGAAACATAAGAAACATAAGCCTATTTTCTATAGCTAAAAATAAAGCCAGTTCACTGTGTATATTTTCTTCAGGACTAAACAGAGTCATTAATTATCCAAACCAGTATGACTACAAGCAGGATTTTTTCCTAACAAAATGTTTCAAAATAATAACCATTTTTATTTTTATTTTATATTATATTATTAAGTGAATCTCACAGAATTTTAAAAAGCCATTGAAGTTGTTTGTGCTGGCAACAAATGTATCATTTCTAATCTCAACATCTCACCTTACATGGCAAACACAACATTCCTGGCTTTAGTCCTAGATTCATGTAATTTAAAACTTTATATTCATTTGCTAATCATCTGCAGGCCCTTGGATGGGTATTTTCCGATCATATGTTTGGCTCATTTAAATTGAGATATGCCTGTTTTTTGTTAAATGTGTATTTTCTTAATTCCTACTTTTGCTTTTAATATTACTTTGTTTCTAACTGTTTATAACTGTTTTTAATTTCCAGGTTCAATCTAACTGATTAGAAACATCTAGTCTATTTATTTGTATCTAATCTTTGAAAAGTTGTATTCTATCTTTCCATTATGTTTGGAATCATTGAATTTTAGAATGTGAGGTCATCTTAGCGATCATGTCAGATCAGGAAATGTCATACATGCGACAACACACAAGTCAAATCAGCTGCTGATCTGTCTTCTGGGGCCATGCACGTTTCTGGGGTTACCAGTATGTATGTATGCATTATCAGAATGATGCCTAAAGGAAATTTCTTGCAAGCTATACAGAGATAGCAATCCTCTTAATGTGATCAATGCCATACATACTCAAAAGAAAATGTTAAATAAAATTTGGCCCAAGGGAAGTAGAATAGGCCCATGAGTGCATGGCCTTCCAGGGTAAATAATTTCTACAGCCAAAAACCTGGCCTGCCCACAGATGAGTCCTGAGCTGACAGCCCAGGTAAGCAACCTTACAAGCACTGTGATGTAAGTTTTGTGGAAAAAAAAAAATGCTTGTGTTTTACTTTTCGTTTTGTTTGTTTAATCGAGATTCTAATTCATGTGTTCATTTATTGTGTAAAAGAACAGATGGTGGGGCAGGTGCTGAGGTAGGAAAGTATAGAAATGTGCATTAAAAAATTCTAGCAAATGTTTTACCAATGCAGTGTCTCTTTGACCTGAGAAAGACAGACAGATAAATTAATCTGTCAAGCTCTATGTTGCATGAAAAGAAAGAAGAGAAAAAGCAACTGCCAAGACTCGCTGGTGGTTCTAGGGAAAAGTACAGCCAGATCAAAACCTACCATTAAATACCTACTTTATATGTCCCCTAGCAGGACAAGGTCCAGGGCCAACCACAGTGAATTCCCACTCTCTGAACCACCTTTGACCCCTGCACAAGGAGAAGACTACTCATTAGCTCCCAGGGCCAGTGGATGGCAAAGCATTGATTTGACCTGTGTTTGGCCCATGTCCTAATTTGCTATGGTCACTGAGATGACCCTGATTCTAAAATCCAATGATTCTAAAAATAATAGAAGAAATTAGAAGTGATTAATGAAGTCAAACTTTTTAAAAACACGAAATACAAGAAAATAAATTAGATGTTTCCAATTGGTTAGACTGGACCTAGAAATCAAATACAAATCTCAAACTTACTCTGACCTGCCCATTGTTAGGAAAAAAAGAATAATGGGTGAGCTGGAGGGGAGGACCCCCCTGGTGAAGCACTGTACTAGTAGCTACAGATATTTTTAATCAGTATTAGTCATATCATAGACAAAAAGTATCTGTAAAAAATAGGAAAGTGATATGTCAAGTCATTGTTCCTTAGTGATTTTCAAATAGCTGTTATTTGTCAGTCATTCTCCCAAGGATATTGAGTTTATGTTGAGCTGTATTAAAATAAAATTAGGTGTCTGTGGTCAGAGTCCAAATATTATACATAGCTCTATGGATATAGTACAACTTGGGTTTCAGAAAAATGTGAATGTTGTCTGTTTTTGCATATTTGAACCCCAAATCAAGACAAAGCATGGGTATGCTTTGGATAGTGTTGCTGTTTTCTCTCTTTTCCCCCATATAACATATGTGGCAAGGAAACATGGCTCCATCTTCAGTTTTGGAGGTCGTCTCTGACTAAGCTAAGCCCATGAGAACAGCCTCCTCGAAGCTACCAGGAGCGGGTCACAAACCCAGGCTTACACCAGGGGATGTACAGCAGCCATCTCTTTCTGCATCTTCTTGGCCGAGGGCTGGGCACGTGACCTATGTTGGCCACAACTAAACAGAAAGACCTTTCTTTTTGTGGGTTAAAAGCAGCATTTCACTCTTCCTCTGAATGTTACAACTCTATACTAGAAGAATTCTTTCCACCTTTTTTGGTTGATTTAATTTCAGATTGTTGGCACGAAATTCAGAGTTCTAGCTAATTGTTTTTATTAAATATTTCACATTCTGGAGCTGTCAAACTGTTTCTCATGATTAGACCCAACTTTAATGTATTTTTGGCAAGAATACACCATTAAAGATTACGAGTATTTCTGTAGAGTTAGAGAGTCTCCAAGATCACCCTTGGGTTCCATAATTTGCTAGAACGACTCACAGAACTACCTAAATGCCGTTATACTCACAGTTACAGTTTATCACAACAAAGGGATACAGATTAAATCAGCTGAGGGGAAAAGGTGAGTAGAGCAGGGTCCAGCAGGAATCACCCAATGGTCGTCTTTCTTTGGCTTCTCCTCCCACAAACCTTCATCCAGGTGGCTCAACTTTCAATCCAGTGTGAAGTAGCAATTCATCCTGTATGGGATTATGTCCACAGGTATCCTGAAAAACTAGATGGACTTCTCTGACGGTAGGAGACCTCAGCATTGAAAATAAAGAACTGGGATGGCTTTTAGCAGAGGGCATCGAGAAACCTTCCCAGTTTTCATCACTAAACTAAAAGAATTTGGACTTGCCTAATGAAGACAGTCCCCATGTGTCCGGATGACACAGAGCATAGTGGGACCTCAGCACCCATCCACTCAATAACGTCTAATGTTCACCTTGGCTTGAGTTCAAAACTCTCCATGAAGCTCAGTATCCTTTTACCTCCCTTAATTTCAGGTCAGAATTTCTTGGTTGCTATTTTTTTTTTTTTTTACCTTTTCTAATAAAGGCCATACTGGATCTAGATGAAGGGAAGAAAGGAGTAAACTCCAACTCTGACAGCCTCATCACTCTTAGCAACTGCCCACAGTGATGCATATCCAACCTTATTCAGCGCTAATGTTTCTCTCTTGGCTTCTGCTCCATGGAAATGTCTTCTATTTTGAGTTCTGCAATGAGAGGTATGCACTTGAGCTCCGTGTGCTCACGCATTTGTGCTGAGCAGAGAAGAGGTTGCAAGTAGTGCCCCCTTTGACAACTTGACCCAGAAATAATTTGTGTACATTTAAAATAAATGATTTAATAAAATCAATGTTATTCTCCATATCAATATTTTTTAACATGTTTTAATTTTTGCTTAACATAAGTAATGAGATTTTTTCCCAAATAATTAAGTAGTATTATCATGGAAAACATAATTTTCAATTATTAGCTGATTACATGATATGAATTAACTTTTCCCTTGCATAATATTTCTCTGTTATCTAAAGTCAAGATTGTTTCCAAGCTTTCCCTATTATACATAGCCATCTGTGGGACATCTATTTACAATTACAGAAGTACATTTAGGAATTTTCATTTGTTTGTTTTCGTTGTTTTTACCTTATAAACATTAAATACCTGTTCATGGAGACTTGCTTAGGTTCACCCATCATCCCTTATTCTAATATAGTTTTGTCATAATGTCCAAAGTTCCTTAGCCTTGACAATTCCCTGCTATAACAGCTTTCAGTACCTGATGCTTACTTAGCATTGGGTTATTTTAGTCATTTCACTAATTTTCATCACTAGTTTATGTATGGTCAAATTTATCTATCCTATCAGGGTGCAAATACAGGATGGGCACTGATAATGTTATGGATTCCTTCTACATCCCCATAGCCCTTGAAATAGTGGTACACTTACCACCGGCTGTTTAACAAGCGTGTGATGTCACCAGAGTCTCCCCAGCACGCCGCTCCAAGGAGAAGAGTATTTCTCCAGCTCTCAGCCACCTGCCCTGCAGGTCGCCTCACATTTCCCTGCAGTATATTATTTGTATGTTTCAGATATATTCCATGTTAGAAATACGTTATGAGATTACAATACAAGCAAAGTATTCATAAACCTTGCGATTACAACCTATATCATCCCCATTTTGTTCCTTTCAGTCAAATGTGTAAAGCCATGTATGTAACCCATGGTTTCCAATGGGAGAAAGAAAATCAAATCATATCTTATGGTTCATTATCAAGACAAACTTTTCTTCTATGAATTGACTTAATTTTGTCCTTTGGATTATAATAAATCTTACATAAAATACTTCAGGAAATTTGAACAAAAAAAAAAGCATATCTACTAAGATTTGAATAATATATAGGCTATATATATAAATAATTAATAATATATATCCATAATATCCTTTAAGGAGTACTTGGCCCAATGAGAACATGGTGAAGTTCCTATATTCTTCTACCTTATTTCACATAAATTTATCTCTTCTCTTGTTTTCCTAGTCCTCCCAACTTGATCTATATTTTTCTTAATGAAACACAGAAATAATATCATTTACTACCAATTGGAATGCCAACTATATTTTAAAATAACATTTTTTTTCCTGTGTGTATGAAAGCAAATGCTTTTTCATGGCTTAATAGAAAAAGTTCAGAGAAAGGTTAAATTAAATAGGCATCTTCTTTTTCCCTTTCTAGAAGAACAGATCCCCCTGAGTACTAATGCATGCAAGAAAACAAATGGAAATAAATGTGAAATAAAATGGATAATGCAAGTTAACTCTCCCTTCCGCATCTTTTCTAACTGTACAAACTCATGAGGCCAACACAGGCATTTTAGCTGTCTCTGATCACGCTGATCAAATGGACAAGCAAAACCTCTTTTGTTATATTATTAAATCATGCTCACTTGCTGTGGTATAGCCTCTGTTAATTATCATTAACATTTTATATCCCAAGTATGAATACTACAATTAATAAAAATCATATAAAGGAACAAGCTCAATTCAGAGGCAACAGAATCATCCAGAGATACAGTAATAAGTGTGCTCCCGATGACAAAGCTACTAAGGGTTTTCAATCAAATCTGGATTCTCCTACCACAGATTCCTTTATTTACACAATGTCTTAATTTATTACTTCAATTTATTTGCTGGCCTATTTTATTTGTAGGCTTAGTCTAATTTTAACACTGTCAAGAATAATTCAAAGGGTATTGGGTAAGTCTGCTTAGAAGAGGGAAGCTACGTTAATCTTTTCTGACATTAATAGAATTAGACCTTATTAATTCTGACATGATTTATTTCATATTGTGTAAATACTAAATGCAAGCGTCATGTTCTCATCGAAACAAGTGTTTTACATGCTTCATATACTGCAATTTAAAACATGAATTGAAAGTGAGCCTTGAGAACAATTTGAAATTACTTAAATCTTGTCAAACTTAGAAAGATTATTACTGCCAAATGGGAAATGCTAAACGCTAACACACAGTGCTCCACAGAAGTCACTGGGAAGATATAGAGCAAAGGTTTCCACGGCTTGTTGGGCTCTCCAATATCATTCAAGCAGATATTATTCTTAGATAAAGAAAATTCTTCTCTCTATATATATGTATATATTTACACCTGCTTAATACATATTTAATTTTTCACTTTATATAAGGAGAACTGAAATTCTAATAAAGTAATGTTTGGGTGGGGTTTTTTTATGTTTTTAAGTGAGGGTAGTCAGGTTAGAGTATAATAATTAGGAATGATGCAACTTGGGTGTGCTTGCAGGGGTAAGAAAAATTATGACACAAAGGACCAGAAAATGAACTTGCCTAAAGACTTCACCCCTGTTTACCTGAGGTACAATGTCAGGTGTCCTATCACTTATTTATTAATGAAAAAGTTAAGTGAGGCTTTAAACTGTTTGCCTAAGTTTCAGATAGCTTGGGGGAGCCTTGCAAAAAAACGACTGACGTTAACTGTTGAACAGCCAGGCCAGGGTCTCACTTCTCTTTCCATTGGCTTTGGCTGATGTCATTGGATGCTTAAACAGATGATTTAGGACAAACAGTTGGTTGACAGTCCTTGAGATAATTTTTAAAGCATGAGAATGTTAAGATTGCATTTTTAGAGGACATGGTATATCTACATCTAAGATGCAGATGTGTGGAAATCGTTTGAACTACTTTATAAGCACTATAAGATGAAAAGGAAATATTAATATTGGCTTCCTTCAAATGTAACTGACTTGGTCTATGATGCAAAGAACTGTTTTAAGAAGTAGAAAGGATACTAGGTCTTTGTTCTTTTGAAACAAGAGCAAAGACGGCATCTCTTTTAAACCTCAATTATTTATTTACAAGAAACATATGGGAAGAATTATTAGACAAAGGTTTCAAATTTCTAGAGCAGTTTATTTTGTAGCTGTCAACTGGGGTGTGAATTACACAGCTTAATATAGGACATGAATGACTGAAAGAAAATGAAAGGATTTGCCACATTTGTACATTTTATATAATATTCATTGTTAACTTAAAACACCTTATCCAAATTTTTGAAGTGTATGCCAAATTAGAAGTTATCTTGTGTAAATCATGTAAGAATATTTTCTAAAGCATTTATGTATTTTAAAAAAGTTTGTCATTAAAATGACCGCTCCACACATCAGTGACAACTCCAATTTTCCTTAATTTGGTGGGAGAAGTGATGCTCTAATGATAATAGAAATAACACCAAAGGCAGGAATAGTTCACCCACTAGCAATACTTGACATCTGAAATTATAGGGAGATAAAAGAGCTATTTCATTGGAAAAACAAAATTTTGGAGGTCACAGAGACTTGAGGACTCACATAGGCCTAACATCTAACCCAATGCCAGGAAGACCAAGTGACATTCCCAAGGCCACACACCTGGATCTAAAACTCAGGTCTCATTTTGCAGCCTAATTATCATCCACTTTAGCAAATCACCCCTGTGAAACGTACAAACGAACCTTGAATATTTTAGGTCTGCTCAGTGGGATAACATTATGTGTTCAGTATGTTTGTCTCAAAAGTATTTGTTTGTTGGTGTGTCCATTAGCACGTGTCTTCTTCAAATTTGTATTTTGGTGGTGGATAGTGTCTTTTTTTCTGTATTTCTGTATCACTTCTTCCCTTTATACCATAATTTTTAAAAGTCCTTGATTTCTACCACATTTTAGAAAATAATTTATGAAAATGAAAAGGACCATCGGTTGTTCCTTTGTTACAGAATTTTAAATGACTCTTTGAGGTGCTGGTCTGTATTATAAAGCTTGAAGAATTCTGATATGTTGGTTTCTATATACTGAGTTTGGTGGGGCGGGGAGAGTTGTTTGTTTTCTGATTTTGAGACAGGGTCTTGCTCTGTTGCCCAGGAATAGAATGCGTTGGCATTATCATAGCTCACCGCAACTTTACACTCAGGGGCTCAAGCGAACCTCCTGCTTCAGGCTCCCAAGTAGCTGGGACTACAGGCTCACCGTCATCCAGGGCTAATTTTTCTATTTTTCAGTAGAGACGGAAGTCTCACTCTTGCTCAGGCTAGTCTTGAACTCCTAAGCTCAGTGATCCTCTCGCCTCAGCTTCCAAGAGTGCTAGGATTACAGGCGTGAGCCACCGTGCCCAGCCTGGGTTTGGTTTGTTTTAACTTAAAGCTACAAGTCTCAGTGTGGACATATGCTTTTCCCCCCATTGGTTAAATGCCTAGGAATGGAATCACTAGGTCACATGGTAGGTTTACATTTAACTTCTAAGAAACTCCAGACAGTGTTCCACGGCGGCTGTACCATCCTGCCTGCTGACCAGCAGTGTGGGAGAGCTCCAATTGCTCATCCCCTCATCAACATGTGATGCGGCCACTCCAAGCTCAGCCACTACAGTGGGCATGCAAGGGTATCTTACTGTGGTTCCAATCTGTATTTCCACAATGACTCAGTGTGTTGAACATTTTTGCATGTGTTCATTAGTCATCCATATATCTTCGTTGGTGAAGGGTCTGCTCAAATCTTTGCCCATTTTTTTGTTTGTTTGTTTCAAAATATGTGTCTCCTTGTTATTGAGTTGTTAAGAGTTATTTGTATATTCTAGACACAAATTCCCTGTTGGATATGTTTTACACACATTTTCTTCTACTCCGAGGCTTGCCTTGTCATTTGCTTACCAATGTCTTCCAAAAAGCAAAAGGTTGTCATACTAATAAGTACATTTCATTGTCTTTTTTCTTTTATAGTCTTTGTTTTTTATTTCATAGTTAAGCAACATTTGCCAAATCGAAGGTCACTAATTTCCTCTTACGTGTTCTTTTAGAATTTTTGTACATTTTAGCTCCTGCATTTATATCTCCGAATGGTCATAGAAACTTTATTATATTACTAATAGCCAAATTGGTAAACAACCCAGATGCCCACCAGCTTATTAATACATAAATAAATTGTATATCCATAAAATGAAATCCTACTCAGAAAAGAAAGGGAATTATTGATACATGCAAAGAAAGAGATGACTCTCAAAATAACTATACTGAGTGAAAGAAGCAAGATGGAAAAGAGCACATGCATGTGGTTCCATTTCTATGAAGTTATAAGAAGTGCAAGCTCATCTACAGCGACAGGTTGCTGAGCAGTGGCTGTCTGAGGATGGGTGGGGAAGAGGGAAAGAGGGGCTGAGTGGGAGGGATTAAGAATGGGCACAAAGAACGTCATGGGGGAAGCAGATGATGGCTTCACACATGACATATGTGCAGTTAATGAAATATCCATTCAATAAATAAATATTTTATGAATTGCAATAAAAAAACAAGTACTTTCATTTCAGTAAGTAAACAAGGCTTCAACCAAGCTGTAATACATAAAGCCTCGATAAAGCTGTATGACATAAACAACAAAAAATAACATACATTTAAATGAAAATAAAAGAACGTTAAAGCTATCTCACGACCCTTAAAAGTGAACCCAGTTAGTTTGAATTTCAACAATGTTTTTAAGGGAGAAAACTGAGACTGGAGGGCTGACTGTACTGCAGATTTTATACTCAATGCTTTCCTGTAATTTATGTTACTTGCTCTCCACAGCCACCTCATACGGTAGGGGTTATTATGCCTCAAAAATGTGAGCACAGCAGAGGGTTACTGGCTCCATGATATCAAGTAGTTAAGAAATGACAGAGCCAGAAGTGACGATGACAGAGGCTGTTTCCACCACTCACCTCTGACTCTAAGGCCATGGGGGCTGGGCAGGGTCCCATTAGGCAGAGCCAACTGGGAAACCAGCCTCTTTGTCATTAAGACAGCGAACTCTGGAGTGGTTAAATCAACGTCTTGATTTCTGAGTAGCAGATATCATTATCTATAGCTGATGGAATCTGAATCATTGGATTAATGTTTTAATTTAATATTAATATATTAAATTCTATCTCAGTTCTTTGAATTACAAATCAGAGCCATGTTATATTTATTAACAAGACAGACCCTGATTCTTACTAACTGTATTCCACTCCCAGAGCTTCTGCAATATAAAAAGAGCCAAAAACAAATTTAAAAGCAAGGTATGCAGCCCCCAAACTAGCTTATCCATTGTCCCATGGTTATAAAATTTCATTTGAGAATGAAATTTTCTTAAACTGCTACTGAGTAATCAAGTATCTATATCACCAGGCATAAATATATTAACTGTTTTATCACACAAACTGGCCTGAACTTTGAAGTGATAAAAACTATGAATTCTTAAAAATAAATGAACACATTAGCAGTTGCTTTATAAGGAGGCAAAAGGAAGCATTGAGCACAAAAGTAACAAATTATAATCAGGCTCAGACTATGAAGATTTCATATCAATCTCCATGACTTGTCTCCAACTAAAGTTTATCCTGTGCCATTCTTCAATAGGTGTGTGTTTTTCTACACTTCACCAAGAAAAAAAAAAAAAAAAATGTCTACTGGGTAATGTATCTTGGCTTTAGGCAGATAGTTTCCAGAAATTATAAATGGCTTTAGTCTCAATGAGGCATTAAATGTGGTGTCTAATGGAGACACTCTTTGTTCCACAGTTTTGACAGTGGACTTAACGCTAGCTCACCATTCAAACCTACGCCTGACCAACACAGTCGGCAGAATGAGCAAAACTTGTACATAAATACATTCTGTGGATGTCATTGGAAGGGGAATGCTGAGCTGCTTTCCCTTTAAAAAAAAAAACACAGTCTTAAAAGTCAAGTATGGGCTACATTAAATATGAATGATAATAGATCCAATAGATAAATGACAACTCTGTGTGATTTATTACTTACCGTGCCAAGTGTTCACTTTCGCTTCCACGTTAGAACAAAAGCTGATGGAAGGAAATGAAATCGCCGAAGATCGTAGTGTGGACGTGAAATAATACCAGCATTCATTGAGTATTTGTGTCTGAGAGTGACCTTTTGTTGCTGAATGTTCTTTCTTTTCCCCTGCATCTTCTGGAAATTCTAACCTCAGAGAGAGAGAGAGAGAGAGAGCGCTATGCAAAATGTGTGACATTTGGAATAGACAAATTCATTTCCATCATTTTTCATCTGGTTAATTAATGCTGAGGTGACCTCAGATAACAGACTGGTATTTTAGAGAGGAAGTTTGGCTAGGTAAAAGTGAAGTTCCTCCCAAATACTGGATATCCACATAGATTTGTTCACCAAGGGGTAGAGGAAAAGGGGCATTATTATTGAAGGTAGAGTGAGAGAAACACAAAGCACATATTTCATAAAACATCTTTCCTAGCTGGGAAACCCATCTGCAGTATCTCAGAAGCAGAGAGGTGAGGCACACATTCATTGGCTTTAGAGTATTCTAAGGACAGAAAAACATGTACCACATGTACTCGCCATCAAATTGGTACTACCTGATCAACACTGAAGTGCTCACATGGTAGTGATACTCATTGGGTGTCAGTCAAGTAGGGGGGTAGAGGGTGGCAGGTGGAGGGGGTGGGGAGCTAAACTCACAGCTAGTGGAAATGGGGCACATTGTATGGGGGAGGGACACACTTGTGACCCAGGTGTGGGAGAAGCAAACACATTTCAGGTAACCAAAATGTTTGTACCTCCATAATATCCTGAATTAAAAAAAAAATATATATATATATATATATTTTTTTTTTTTTTTAAATACTTTCGTCTCTACCTTGCTCCCACTGTCTTTCATATGCTTCTAGGAGCAGTTTGCATTTTCTATTTGGAGAGTAACTTCACCGTCATCACTACTTTCCGGCAACTCCAGGAAGCACTCTTGGAAGTTATTCTCATGTTTGCAGATGCGGGAGCAACATTCGAGAGCGAGCATGTGACTTGTCGAAGGTCACACGGCCAGTGCGTGAGGACCAGGAGCATAACCCGTGGACAACTCATGGAATAATGCTCTCTCCTTCCACGAGGAACCACAGGACCATTAGCACATGAAACGGGTGACTCACAGGACTCATATTCACCTGAACATAGGAATTTAGGTGCTGAGAGAACATGCAGCATGTCCTTGCATAACGGCGTCCTTTTAACAGTGTTTCATTTAACGTTGATGAGTTTATTCACATACATACAAAGTTCTGGGCCAGAGCCGCTGTCTGTGTGGAGTTTGCATGTTTTCCCAGGTCTGCATGAGTTTTCTTCAGGTACTCAGGTTCCCTCTCATCCCCCAGAGACGCCCCGTTAGGCGGAATTGACGTGTCCACACCGTCCCAGAGACAGTGGGTGTGCGTGAGTGTGAGTGTGAGTGTGCCCCGTGATGAGATGGCTTCAGTCCAGGCTGACCCTGAACTGGAATAATAGGGTAAATAATTATCTCGCTTGTTCTCATCAATCTCTCTTAGACGTACACACGTATATCACACTTACTTCAATGTTTAAAAGTAGTGGAGTCTTAGTCTTTGTTTAGAAGTTTGGTGATGTCTTTGTAACCAGAAATAGGCCATGGGAACTTAACTCTTGTTTATACCAATTAGCCTGTGGTCATACTGGTTACATCCTTTCACTTAATGTCCCAGTTTCCAAGAACCAGTAGAAGATTAGTTAAGTGAGAACTTCCTGCGTTTCTCCCTGGATCCAAATACAACACCGGTCAAGAAACCGAACACTCAAAATAACAATAATAATGATAATACAATGCTAACTTCCATGACATAATCCGAATAAAGCTCAGAGCAGACAGTGTAGCATTCCTGTGAATAAAAATGAAATGTGGTTGTGAAGGCTGTGAAAAAAAAAAAACTCTTCTTTGAGACACAAATTTGAGTGTGTAATAATGTAATCAATTTTATTTCTACTATCCTTAATGAGTTATTTTTTGGGGAAAAAACACCGATAATTTCATAATCAATTGGAAGTTGAGAAAGTTAGAGGAAATTAGATTTGTTGAGTGTGAAGAAATGGTAATTATTTTATGAATTAAAGGAACATCTTAAATGCACCTTTAAACAGACTGCTAATAAATTCTTCTACACTCAAAAAAAAAAAAAAACCATGATTACTTTCAGCTGGAGTTATAGGACTGGGAGGATTTTAACAGCTAAGCTTTTAAACAGTTGCAGCTGTCTCATATCGAATTATTTTCAGTTCTAACTGATTTGTCCAGACTTAAGTCCTGAAATATAAACTATAGGAACGGCTCACTCTTTGTGCTACTTATAAACCATACAGGTGCCAATGAACTCAAAAAACGTCATTCCCACTTTTTAAATCATAGAACCGAGGGCATGACACAGCTACATGCGAGAGTGAGCTGACTGCAATATTTATTTACATTCAATCATCATATGGATTCTTTTCCTTACATTTTCTGAATGCCATTTTCTGAAAGCCTGCTCCTGATGTTGGCAAGCAACAGTTTCTGGTAACGATGAAAAAACTAACTTAATTATGTACATCTTATTATCTGATTATATTAGCCATGAGCTCTATAAAGAGGTTTTTAATAAACATTATGGCTTATCTAAAAGAATATGAAATACCTTAAAATGCAAACAGTACACAGATGTGTCTCAGGTGGCTGTAGCCAGTAAAAGAGACAGTATACAATTTCCAAATACATAGATACTTGTACTGAAACAAACATAATTGCCCACATATTGAAACCAATTCTCAAGCATAAAACACTGAACTAAAGAATGAAAAGAAAACCTTGGAGTCAACACTCTAATTTAGCCCTAATCATTTTATATCCCAACTATTATAGTCTCTTCCATCGGCAAAGCATGTTATTCTCCTAGAATTTTATTCTTTAAATATTGATCTTACTATTCTGGATATTTCTTTGGCATTGGCCTTGAAAACCATGCTGTCTCATGTTTACGATATTTCTGTGTGTTTGTAAAAATGTTACAAAGCTTATTCTCTAATTTGGAATTCCACCTACATTTGGGTCACAGGGGGTCCAGTTGCTGTGCCCACCATCCCTGCCCTGGGTGCCTGCACTCCGGCTGGCTCATCTCTTAACCTCCTGGTGTCTCAGCCCCCAGGGCTCCTTGGGCTTCCAAACCTTGCCCATGTGCCAGCCGAGGCTCCAGCACCCACATGTCCAAGAGGCTAGGTCGTGCCACCAGGGAAGCTCCATGCCATGATGACAAAAGATGGAAGAAGACAAGAAGATGGCAGGTTCCATTTTCAGCCCCTTTGTATTCCCCATCCAGGGAATTTTCCAAGGTAAGGTAAGCTTGGAGGATGTTAAAACTCACCTCTTTTCTAGAAACAATTGTCTGCCCTTCATTAGGTTCCCATCTGTGGAATTGTACCCCCTACTTTAAAGATGAGAGCTCACATTCAAATAGTTTCATCTTTAAATGGCTTGTCATGGACATGGTAAAGCTGGAATATAAAAGCCTACAAAAATCTCAGTCACGTCTCTAAACATTCTCCAACCCTCATATATGAGTAAATGTCAAATGATTCTTACTTCCTCCACCCCATGGTTACAGTCACAATAACAAGGCAACAAGATCATGTCCGCTTCGGCAATGTCCCTCTGAGCATTTCATAACGTTGCCCAGTGAGCGAGCGAAGTGATGATTCCTTGTTGTGCCCTCGGTCCATTTAGACATGGGACCAGGCCAGCTACGTGATTTGTATAGTGAAGTACAAAAGCAAAATGCAAATCCTCTTGTCCAAAAGGCAAGAAAAATGTGCCATTAAAGGTGTTAAAATACAGTCTTTCCCTTTCTTCTGTGGCTTCTCTATCAACTTGTCACTGTGGTTTTTATTGGCTGTTTAATATCATTCTAACAAACAAAATACAGGCATTTAAATCACTACCAGCTAGGATTTTATCATGCATCTCTTGTGCAATGCCAGCTTTAGATGCAAATAAAAGACATTTAACGGTTATGCCCTTTAACCTGAGATTTTGGAGTCTCTGAAATTATGCAGTCTTGGTTCGTAGCTTGTGCTCATGGCGGCTGCTCGCTCTCAACAGAAGAGTGGAAATGCTGCACCCCACAGACTCCGGGGTTTGTATTTCCCTTTTGACATGCACACGGTCTACCAGCACTGTCTGTGAGGGGCCTGCTGATGAGGAAGGAAGCACAGAGCAGAGAGGGAGTCATGGGCCGCCGTCTTTGCTTTCTTTCTACACCGTCATTTTCAGTGTAAGTAGCTGGTTCACGCAGAGAAGTAACACACACGATTGTTAAAAAAGGATTGGGCAGGATAGTTTTGTTTGTGGTTCCTGGATGTCCGTGGCTTGCTTTCTGCATTTGCACGTTCCGGTTTGAATGGAGAGCACAGCCTTCGAAGGTGGGCAGAGTTCTGCTCACTCAGCACCTCCCTGGTGCTCATCAGGTGGGTCTCGCTGGATCCCCTCCCCCGCTTGCAGGTGGGAGCATCCTGTGCTCTTGGGGCATTGCAGATATTCTGTGCATTAGGCACCAGGAACAAGGGGCACATGTACTGCCCATAGCTCCTTGGCTCACCTGCATGGCCTATTGCCCCATCAAACATCATCTAGAAAGCACAGCTTCAGAGGTAAAATTATTATAAATTTCAAGGTACTCACAGTGGAGCATTAAACCAAATTCAGCATCCTTTTGGGAGGAAAGCCTAGTGTAAAGGCACAGGTTGCAGGCCCATGAGGTTGCCCTGCCCTGACTATGTCCACTGAGGCACACGTTGACCCCCTCGGTACCTGGCACAGCACAGAGGGGCGGCATCCTGGCCCTCCCGTTCTCTTCCTTATTTTTCCTCCTTCCTCCCTTCCATGCTTCCTCACTGCGCTCCTTCCTATTCTCTCCATTTTTCTCTTTCAGTTTTGGAGTTTTCAGTATTTAATTGTGGTTTTAGTCCAGATAAATGGGGCATTTGACTAGGCTTTAAATATTCTTACTATAAGTCAATTTTTATCTAACGCTCAAGTGCCAGAGTGTTGGAAGTTTTATCGCTAGCCTTGAAATTAGCAACGTTCAGCATTTGTATCCTCTTCCAAATTATAGCTATGACTGAAATGAGAAAAATCGAATCACTCATGCCTAAGAATAAAATTTGTAAGACGACTTAACACTTAACTGGGACTGTCTGTCGGTGTGAGGTCACCAAAAGTGGGGCTGATTAGGTAGTTTTTGGAGGGAGAAGGGAACCATGCCAGGAAAAATACCTTTACCTCCCTCTCAATTAAAAACATGTCTCTGTATTGGAGTGTGCTTTTCCCTTTTTCTGGATAAACCCATTTGGCAAGAGGGCCTTTCCTCCCAGTGGTGATGCTCAGGTGCTACACTTTGCATCCTCCCTTGGCCAGGGCCCCAGGACTCAGCTGCAGCCCTGCTAGCCCCTCACTATCCTGCAGGGTGTGGCCTGCTGCCCCTGGAAGTCCTGGCTCTGTGCTTTCTTAGAGGACAGAGGGAGTTCCTTTCCCTATGGTCTTTGTATCTCCAAGCAACAAGGAAAACACCTGTCACAGAGTAGATGTTCAATAAATATGTATTGAAATTTAAAAATTACACATATTGTCTTCCCCTAAATTCATGCAGAAATGAAAAATGTGCTGCTATGGGTGTTGGGGGTGTATCTGATGAAAGACTCAGACACTCAATTCCATCTTCCATCTTCTGGCATGAATCTAGTTGCTGTGGCATAGGCCCTCCCCTGTCTGCTGCTTCTTCCCAACTCTTGCTTTGAAATGTGAAAATTATACATTCCAAGGACGAGGTGCAAGGAAAAGTGTAAAACTGGTGGCAGCACAGAACAACTTTGTTGACTTAAACATCAGCATTTTACAACGAAACTCCATAGATAAGTAAAATTTCTTGAGCCCTGTCACCACTATCTTTGAAATTTGGTAGATAGACTTTCTTTATAGCATAACTTTCCAACTGCTGTTGCATCTTAAATCTACATATTTAGGAAATGTGAGTTTCAGTTAATATAGTTGTATATTTAACAAAGCAAAAAAAAAAAGTATCTGAAAAGATGAAGTAGATAGTTTTCCTTATACATTCGGCTAAATTCAGCTGATAAGCTCAGGTGTAACATAAAACAAACATAACAAAAGATTCTGAAAAGTGGAGAGAAGATAGAAGACCAGCTAATGACGTCAGGACTGAGGGAAAGATGGCTTTGGGTTCTCTGGGTTTCCTTCTCACCTCACATATCCCACAGAGCACACCAGAGAAGGCGGCAACCCAGAAACACCAATGGTGCAGACGAGAATCTGTGCTCTTCTTACCAAGGGACCAGGGAAAAGGCAACAACACGGGCTAGAAGATATTCAGATAGCAACTGCTGGACTCTAGTTAAAAGTAGAATCAGGACTTCCACCACTGCCCAGGAGCAAAAAGGCTCTCTTCTCCCATAGTTTCAGTAAAGTCCCATCCAAACTAAGTCAAGCCACTTTAGAGGTTATCTGAGCATAATGCTTTCATTTTTTAACACCTAACTATGTGCTTCTTTAAAGTTCCATTGAATGGTTTTATATGTTAGTTTGATCTATCTACTTGGACTACAAAACCCCAGAAAACAGGGGCTATATCTTATGTTTCTTTCTTAAGGCCTATGGACTATCTCAACATATGAGCAAACCGTTTGTGTTCAACAAATGTGCCCATGTTAAATCATATTTGCATGGAATAAATTAATGCAATGTACCACCAAAGTTTTATATTTTAGGAGTGATTGAGGTCATGAAATAGCAGGACAAAATGTGGTGTCCAGACCAACAGCTTCTACATCACCTGGGAACTTAGAAATGCAGATTCCTGGACCCCAGCTCAGACCTACTTAATCAGAAACTCTGATTTACCAAGCCCTTCAGGTGATTTGATGCACACTAAATTTAGGGCTACTACACTAGCAGCTAAAGTCTGTATCATCAAATAAAGAGACAGGATGACAGAGCTATCTCAGAAAGTTAATGATCTGGAATAACTTTTTTCAAGCACTAGTTGTTTGTACCAGTTCCGTTTTACAGCCTTGGGCTCATCTGATTATTTTTTGAAAAGGTTTTCTTGATTCCCATGTCTGACATTTAGGGTTAAAGGCACACATACCT